ACAATTTTTTAATACATATTTTTCCATAAAAAGTCCAAAAGTTAACCCAAACAACCACATTATTTTCCTCAACTTTTTAGTCTAAAAAGTCAAAAAGTACACTTATTTAGGACATCCTAAACAACCCCTTAGTATGATTAGCACAAAACACACACACTCTAATAATGTTGTTTATCATGTCAAATTTAACTTGATACTATACATCGTGTATCGTGTTAAATTTGACAAAATAAAAATATTATGTCAAATTGTAGCAAAAAAATAAATGTTTGACTATCACCTTTTTTAAATTTAGGAAAACACTATGATACATACTCCTCAAAAGGTGTGTATCATTTATATATCTTATAACTAAGGAAGAAAATAGTATAATTTCATCTTTTCTTAGTCATAGCTAAAAAAAATATCATAACTAAATACAATATGAGGCATAACTACATAACTCATGAGTTATATCTAAATTAATATCATAACTAAAGAATAAAATTGGTCATAACTAAAGAAAAAAATGACGTAATTAAGGGTGCATATGATGTACCCTTTTCAAGGGTGTGTTTGTTAAAATTTCCCTTAAGTTTATTAAATTACTTCCAAAAAATGTCATATCATGTATTTTTTTTATATAAATTCGAAAAAATTAATAAATTAATATAGCAAAACTATTTTTTCTTAAATACTAACCATCATTAAATTTCAATTCAAAATATAATTTGAATTCATTTCATCATAAAATACCACCACCTAATTTTATTTAGGCAGTGACTTTGGTCCAGTCCAAGATCGAACTAGACCGTGCTGTTGGACCCGTGGAGGCCCACCACGGGTCCCGTTTTAATAATTCGAACTGTTCAATATGTAGAACTCGTCGAGTACTATATGCCTGTAAAAAACACGTTGATCGGATATTGATAGCTATGTGAACAAAACAGCTTTTTATCAACCGTTAATTGTTTCACCTTCCATTTTTTTTATACAAAACTGATTTGATCACATTGCTATTTATATCCGATCAACGTGATTTTTTACAGACATGTAGTACTCGACGAATTCTACATATTGAACGGTTCGGATTATTAAAACGGGCCCAAAAAATGGGCCCCATGGGCTGAACTGGACGGGTCCAGTCTTGATCTCAACTTGAGACAAGCTGGACCCTTTTATTTTATATAAGTTTGAATTAAGTTAATGAGTTGAATTTTTAATATTAATTATGGGATCACAAATATTTCAATTAAATGTTTAATTTTAAGACACTGTTTACATATAATTAGGTGCATGTGATCCTATCGTATGGTTGAACTTGAATCGTGCTTAAATTAATGACGCAAGCATTACTGTTACAAAACTCTCAAAATATAATATTTTGATACTGTAACATACTAAAATATGATATTAACGAAATGGAGATGGTTTTGAAGACTAATGCTCGAGAGAGTCATATGAGAAATGCACCAAATTGATTATAACAAGGATCTCCCTTCTTATCCTTATTATCCTTGCAATTTGGTGAGATATTGCCCAACCCAGAAAGGATCTCCTTAATTATTTTTCATTTTTTTTAATCAGTGAGAACACAATGGTTTGGGCAAGCTTGATATTGTTCATGGGGTTTTTTTTATTTAAAAAAAAAAAAAAAAGTGTTTGGTATCTGTCAAAAAGAGCACAACAATTTTCAAATTTTAAAATATTTTGAAAATAAATTTTCATTTCCTCTTCCTTCTTTCTCTAGCAGGCCTTCTCCAGCACTTATGGCCACCTTCAACACTCCTCCCTTCGTCCTCTTAGGCAACTCACTTCCTCCTCCGATTACTCATCAAATATATTTATTTATTTTAAAATTCATGTGTATATCAACAAATAATGGGAATGAAAAAACTTATTACTTGTATTTTGTATTAAAAAAAACTAGAAAATATAAAACTAGTGCATTATAGACACTACATAGTTTTCCATGATTTTTTTAAAGTCATAAAAAATATAATTGATGTAACAAAAAGGTACAAATGGTAAAGGAAAAATAAAATGGTCCCTTCTATTTGCTCTGCATCGATTTGGTCTGTGTCGTTTTGTTTGTATCAATTTTGACTTTGAATTTTTCATATTATATCAATTTAATACAATTGGTAATGGGCTTTCAGAAATGAGATTGAAATCAAGGACTAAAATGGTTTGTTTACTATTCCTAAAGTGACTGAGAGATTAGTGTCAAATTTAAAATAGTCTATTCCCTTTTGAATTGACCATTGTACCCTTGATTTTTGTCAAAATTCTTAACAAATATTGTCAATTGTATTGAATTGGGATAACATGAAAAAATCGAAAGCCAAAATTAATGCAATTAGAATTACAAGGATCAAATTGACACGAGAGACAAATTACAAAATATAATTTACCTAACAATAAATTGCAAAATACATCAATTATTTAAGTGCAATAAGCAAAACAATCTCATCACAATTAAATTGGTAACAAAAGAAAAAATTACTAATCATTGATAAGTACCAAAATCGAAACTAAGATGAAAGCAATCAGAGAGTAATATGACATTTTTTGGAAGTAGTATAATAAATTTAACTAAAAAGATAAAATTTATAATTGTTCTCCTATACAACAATAAAATTACTTAAATTATTAATTGAAACATATGTTTCATATCATTAAAAACTATTAATTGACTTGATGATTTATTAATACAAAGAGCAATTTGTTATGAAATTAGAAATCTCAGGGGGTGGAATGTAATTTTCAAAACTACAGAGGCGATTTATATTTTAATCAAATCTCAGATAGTGTATTTGTAATTTACCCTTAAAAATTCTACTCATTAACTTAATTCAAACTTATATTAAATAAAACTAGGTGGTAGTATTTTATGATGAAATGCCTTCAAATTATATTTTGAATTAAAATTTAATGATGGTTAGTATTTTTTAAAAAAATAGTTTTGCTACATTAATTTATTACTTTTTTCGAATTTATATAAAAAAATACATGATATGACATTTTTTGGAAGTAGTATAATAAATTTAAGGGAAATTCTAACAAACACACACTTGAAAAGGGTACATCACACACCTCTCTAATTATGTCATTTACTTCTTTAATTATGATTAATTTTATTGTTTAGTTATGACATTATTTTAGTTATAACTCATGGGTTATTTAGTCATGTCTCATGTTGTATTTAATTATGATATATATTTTTTTAATTATGACTAAGAAAGTATAAAATTATGCCATTTTTTTTTTAGTTATAGGATATATATGATACACACCTTTTGAGGGGTATGTATCATAGTGTTTCCCTAAATTAAAAAAAGACGATAGTCAAACATTCATTTTTTTTTGGCTAAACTTTGACATAATATTCTTATTTTGTTAAATTTAACACGATACACGATGAATAGTGCCGTGTTAAATTTGGCACGATAAATAACATTGTTGGAGTGTGTGTTTTGTGCTAATCATACTAAATTTAGAAATCTATATAATAAAACATGATGTTTTTAAAAATGTCTAAGAGATACAATTGATTAGAATAGTGTGGATTGACTAAATTAAATATTGAACAACTGAGATTGGTTGGTTCGAAATAAATTTCCTGTCCAAATAATTGTTAACAATTTATTTTACAAAATCTCACATCAAGAAAAGAATGAAAAAGTGAGTTGTTTCACTTGCATAAAGTGAACGTTATAATTTCATTTAATATTTGTTTCAGTTTAAGACAGTTTAAATTTTAAAATAAAATTTAAAATTTTAATTACTCATTTGATTGATTCAATAGTTTAACTGTGATTTTATTAAAATATATTGGTTAAATTTTTTTTATTTGAAATAAACTTCTGATCAAAACAATTATTAGCTTCTAGTTTACACAATTCCATATTAGTAAAAGAATGATTGAGTGAGTTGCTTTACTTATATAAAGTGAACCTTATACTCTTATTTAATATTGTAGTACTGTTCATAGTTCAGTTCAATACAATTTAAATTTTAAAAGTTTCGATTAATTAATTTTTGTGTGAGGTGATTAGTCTTCTAACCTGGGCGGGTAGCCTTAATCGATTTCGATATGACTGATTCACTGGTTTAATTGCAATTTTTAGCTATTTTATCAACATACTAGCAAATGACCCACACCTAAAGGCACTCCGAATGAAATAAAATTTTAAACTATTCATAAGAAAGAAAAATGTTGTGATGCCCCAAAAATCAAGAATATTAAGGAATATATTAATAAATAAATACGGTGTTGAGATCAAAGAAATGTCACTAATGAGTCTTTTGGTTAATAATCAAGTAAGATCTTAGGAAAGATCAGAGAAGTCAAAATAGCCTTCATTCTAAGTCCAATTTTCTTAGATAAGCTAACTTTTTGACAGATCTTGACAAGGTATTAACATAAAGTTTACATTAGTTGATTGAAAATATGGAATATGTTATACAAATGATATATATAGATATACAAGCAAAATGATAATTACAAAGTCGTGCCTTAAGTCACAACAAGAGTTTTAATATTACAACCCCCCCTCTAAAAAAAATAAATAAAATAAAATAAAGGATTACAATAACAAAACTAGTTCTAGTTCCTTCTAGGATAGTCATACGTCTGCAAACGTTTCTACAACACCATCTTCCAAATAAAATTCTTCAACACCTGGCATAAAACTTCATGAGTTTGGAATCACTACTAGAAAAGGAAGTATTGGCCACGGAACCTTTTGTGACGGTTTGAAAACCGTCGCAAAAAATCATTTTTTGCCACGGCAAACGAAGCCGTCGTCAAATTAATTTTTTTGCGATGAAAAATCTAAAACCGTGGCAAAAAATGGTATTATATGCGACGGTTTGTTACCCGTCAATTTTTTTTTTTTTTTTTTTTTTTTTGGAAATTGTACTAATTTTATTTGATTGAACTAAAAAAATATCTGTAATAACACTAATATAAAATAACAACTCCCATTCAAATAGTTGTAATGAAGCATTAATTCAGTTCTCAAATCAAAAAAGGAAAAGACAAAACCATTCATCTTCTCTTAGTCATCATTGTCTCTCTCTCTTGCTCCCAGTCGTCTCTCTCTCTCTCTCTCTCTCTCTCTCGCAACCCCAACACCTCCAGCGTGGGAAGAGTTCCAGGTAACCCTCCTCTCATCTCCTCCTCTTTTCTCTCACACTCACTCACACAAACCCTAACAATCTCTCTCTCTCTCTCTCTCTCTCTCTCTCTCTCGCGTTACCCTCACGGACTGCTTGTAGCAGCAACGACGGTGATTGCCCACTCCGAACATGGCCCACATATGTTTTATAGTTCTCTGTTATCCATGACAAAAACTCATCCCTACAATCCTCTCTCTCTCTCTCTCTCCGTCTACGTCTCTGTCTGTCTCTGTTCGTCTTTCTCTTTCTAGGGTTTCTCTTCCCTCTGTTACTGCCTAAATTATTTATCTCTCTGTCTAGGGTTTCACAACTTCAAGGTAAACCATGGCGATTACTTCAGGTATGTTTTCCCCAATTTTTTCTTTTTTCCTTTTGAGATATACATATAAGTTGATTCTTACCTTTCAAATTGATTGATTTCTTTGGTATTTATGATTACATGAACTTTCGATTTCATCATTTAATCTATTGGAATTGTTCAATTCTGCAATTTTTTTGGTTCCTTCTCTTGATTATCTATGTATATTTTTGGGTATTTGTTTTGACCAACCTGTGATCTGATTAGTTTCTCAAAAGTCAGCTTCTTCTGCTCATTCAAATTAGTTTCTCCTCTACTCTTCTCTGCCAGTGTTGGTGGTTGAAACATTTTTTTTTCTTTTCTTTTTAGGTAAAAATTTAAGGATCTCTTTAATTGAATAATTGAATGCGGTGTATGGAAATATTGTGTAATGCATGCTTAAATGTTGGAAATTGGATTACTACTGCTTGGAAGCTTAGAATCACCATGGGATTTGCTCCTTCTTGTAATTCCCCCTTTTAGAATTAGAATTTGGAGCTATATTATAAAAACTGAGGCTTATAATTGTGGGGATTTCAAAGATGCCTTAAAAGGGGCCTATATACTACAAACTTCAAAAGGCTCAAAAGAAAGAGCATCATTACAAGAAATAACACATTCGACGACTAATTTTGCCAACTAAACTAAATTTAGTCGCCAAAGGTATATGCATTAGCTACCAAAAATTTGTTTGTCGCCAATGGTACACACATTAGCTACTAAACAATATTTGGTCGCCAAAGGTAGATTCATTAGCTACTAAATTTATTTGGTCAGCAAAAGTCCACTATTTAGCTACTAAGGCCTCGTTTGGGAACAGGCTAATTTAGTAACTTTTTGGCTATTTGGCTAAAAAGGTAGGTAAAAAAAACTTGTATGTTTGGGATGACTTTTTGGCTAATTACGAAAAGATGTGCAAAAAGTAGAGAGAAAAGAGAATCTTTGACTTTTTGGTATGGGTAGCTACTAAACAATATTTGGTCGCCAAAGGTAGATTCATTAGCTACTAAATTTATTTGGTCAGCAAAAGTCCACTATTTAGCTACTAAGAATACATTTAGTCGGTATTGTCTTCACTTTTGGCGACTAATTACGTGTTAATCGTTAAAAATATCATTTTGGCCGACTAAAAATGAAGTTGGTCGCTAATTGCACAATGTTTAGATATTATAAATTTATTTTATTGGTGTTTATTTCATATTTGGCTACTAATTGTGTGTTAGTCGTGTGAAATCAACTTTTGGGCGACTAAATGTTATTTTGGTCGCTAAATCTGCAATCTTTACCGACTATAATTTAGTAGCCAAACGTGATGAAAATTTGTGGAGGGAATATTAAAATTTCCATAAAAACATTAGCAACGAAAATGGACTTTTGGTCGGGAAAAAATGGGTGTCGTTTTATTCTTATTGCAATACAATACAAGTGCATTACCCTCCCTCTCTCACTCTCGCATCTGTCACTGCTCTGTCTCCATCGCCATCACCGCAGGGGTTGCTCGATCATCACTTTGTCTCCCTCCAAAGTATGTCCTCTATTTCGCCTTGTTAGGTTTTTATTCTTGGCAATCTCGGTTGACAAAACTCCTTTTAGTTGTACTTTCTTTTTCACTTTTTATTTCAGTGAGACTATGAGTTTTTAGATGTGAATCTAACCCGAATTATGCCTTGCATAGAAGTTTGTGATGTTAATACTTTCAAGATTGCCACTTCGCTGATTATGACGGGGATCGAGCTGCTCGGTCAGCTCGCGGGGCTTCAAAGGGCAGCGCCCCTTAGCGGGTTCGGGGTAGCGCCCCCGAAGAAAAATGCAAAATTACATTTGAAGTTGCATGTCCGCCCTTGCTCGCTTAAGCAAAGGAGTTCTCGCTCGAGCGAAAGCTGCGTCTGGCAAAAAACCTGAGAAGGATGAATGTACGCTCGAGCAAAGGTTGTGTGGCTCGAGCGAAGCCACTTGTGGAAAAACACGCAAGATTAGTTCCTCGCTCGAGCGAGAGAGTCTTCGCTCGAGCGAGCTTCGCAGTCCCAGATTTCTATACGTATTTGTTTTAGTCCAAAACTAGGATTACTCCTCCAGATCTTCTTCTTGGATATTAAGGTTTATATCTGGGAATATTTTGGTAGTTTTCTTTGATGTTTTGATTGAGTTTCAACTTATGGTTTAAATAGTATACATCAAAGGATTATTTGTTTGTTCTACACAAAAGAGAGAGTAGTTCTTCGGTGGATTTTGAAGAATTCGAGCCTGAAGCTTTGGTAGATTCTAGAGTGGCTCATCGTTAAGACAATTCCGAGGTGAAGACGGGGTTGGAAGAGGCACATAGGGGTTGGTTCAATTCGGGCGTGGATTCGCTAGGTAATTGAGAGTATATCTGTGTAATTCCCTTATATCTTCTTAGTGGATTGTTTTGTGGCTGTTACCCATGGTTTTCTTTTATCACAATTAGAGGTGTCCAATTGTGATTTTTTCACGTAAAATCGTTGTGTCGATTTGTCTTGATTGTTTGATTGGGATTGTTATATACTGCTTAAAGTTGACACATAATCACAAATCAACATCTAAGGGATTTCTAGATTTTTCACGCCTCTCTCTCTCTCTCTATCTCTTTTTATCTTCCTCTTCATTTCTGTCTCCTTCTCACAAAGGCCTTTCGATTTCCCTCTTTCTTTCTCTCACTGTTTACACACACATACAAACATACATGCATATATATACACACACACACACAAATCATATATACACAACCTTGATCCCATATGTAATCGATTATACACTGGTACACTCACGCATTTGTGATTGCGTCTCACTCACGCCTCTACCCTCTTCTCTATAGCTTTGTCTCTATCGCCATCACCGCAAGGGTTGCTAGATCATCGTTTTGTCTCGCTTCCAAGTATGTCCTCTATTTCGCATCTCTCTCTCCCTCTCTCTGTATCTCCCTCTCGATTTCTGTCTCCTTCTCACTGTCTCCTTGTCGATTTCCCTCTTTCTTTCTCTCTGTCTCTGTTTACACACATACACATACGTACATATATATATATACACACACATAAATCATATAGGAAGTGTTGAAAAGTAGGGCATTGTTATTGAAATGTGATTGAAATTAAAAATTAGGGCAATGATTGGGGTGAGATGTTATTGAAATTAGAAAACAATGTTATTGAATTTGGGTGTACAAATTACAGAAATGCTGAAGTTAGGGCAATCATTTACCATATGCTGTAAATTATAAATAAATAAAAAAGCAGTTTAATTTGCCTAGAATTGTGGGCATATCATTTACAATATGATGTAAAAGAAAATCTAAAATATGTAACCATGCTGGGTGGGTGCTACCACTATTTTGTTAGATTATTAGTTTTGTTACAGTTAGAATGTATTAGAGGATTCCTCTCTGCTCTTGTGCCTTCTACATGGCTTGCTAATAATATTATTGAATTGCTTTAATGATGAGAAGTGTAAAGTTTTCCAATCAGCTAGGCCTTTGATAGCTTTTTATCCATTTTTTTAATAGATTAATGATTTTCTATGTATGATTAAACTTATATTTTAGCAGTTTATGTTCTACCTTTTTGAAGTCAACAAAGTTCCTCTTCAGTGAGCCTTATGTTAGAATAAGACAAATAGGTTACTGTTTCCCTGGCTTGTTCTTGATACATTTGTTCTCACAAATCCGTTCAAATTTCAATGAAATTATTTTGACTACCGGTTGCTCCTGTGCAGCCCACATTCTCTATTATTTGTACCCTTTTCTTAATACAACAAGCAAATCAAGGCCATTTGAATACTTAAGGCTTACTTCATTGGGCGTCATTGGTGCTTTGGTGAAGGTGCTTCTTCCTACTGACATATATTTGGCTGTGTGTTGTCATGACTATTCCTATTCTTTTTTGTATAATAGTGTGAAACATTATATTTGGAGGTGGATATGTCTTACTTAACACTGCTATTCATTCATCTATTTTTTTTATGCTATGTGGATGTATATTATTAATCAACTAGATAACTGATTTTTTGTTATTTCTTCCTTGGTTGTTCTCTTTTTTCCTTGAGTTGTTGGCTCGAACCTTTTGATAATGATCATGGGTGATGTCATTATGGTGTTGGTTTGGAATGTGCATGTAGTTGTATTGTTGTCGGTTGGTTTGGAATTTGAATGTAGTTGTACTACTAGCGCTTGTCTTAATAATGCATGGATTTTGAGGACTGATGAGTTCATTACATCTCCACCTCTATGTTGTTATAATATTATTCTCTAACAATAATATTGTTAACCTTACAAGATTGTCTAGTGTTGCAGCCCTACATACATGTACAATACTAATGATGAATTTTTTTTTTTTACCAACCCAATGTGTAGTCAATACTAATGATTAATCTTTCTTTTTTTTTTTTTTTTTTTTTTTGCAGATGGTTTTGGACATACAAATGTGGATATGACTTTTTTTGACACGTACGAAAGGGCATTGTTTTTATACCTCTGTTCGTATGTATAGTGGTTCGTACAAATTATTTTTTTTGCGTGGTAAATATCTAAAATATGCCATGGTAGAAATTAGCATTGGACGTGGTACAAATTAGTTTTTGGGGCAGTACAGATTAACTTTTTGGTGTGGTACAGATTTCCTCTATTATGTATAGAATTAAATAATTGAGGTTGGATTATATTTGGTTCGTATGGAATTTGTATTACATATGTCGAACGAAATGGAATAGAATGGAATTGGATGTCGAATTGAATGGAATGGAATTGGATGTCGAATGGAATTTTTTGCGTGCACGTTGTCGAATGGTTAATAATATATATTCAGTATTGATGGATTATATTGTTTATACATTGTATAGGTTGTACTAATAATGGATACAGACGGTTCAAAAATTAAAAAAAAAATAATTAATATAGTATTTGGCTACTAAATATTTTGGTAGCAAAAAACGTAAACAAATGTTTTGGCCACTAATAATGTAGTAGCAAAATGAACAAAATACTTTTTGCGACCAAACAATTAGTAGCTAAAACAAATCAGAATGAGGGAAAGAAACTATTGCCGACTAACTATTTTAGTCACGAAAAAGTTGGCATCCTTTGGCGACTAAATTCCACGGTCGGTAAATAGTTCAATTAGCGACTAAATACGGTCGGTATGTATTCAATTGGCGACTAAAACTTTAGTCTCTAAATAGTTCAAATTAGTTTTTGTTAGAACTTTCGGCGACTAATATTTTGGTCGCCAAAATATCACTTTTGCCGACTAACCAAAGTTTAGTAGCCAAACGTTGACGTTCGGCGACCAATAATTTAGTAGCCAAACATTAACTATTGCCGACTAACCAAAATTTAGTAGCCAAAAATTCACTTTTCGGCGACTACTGCCTTAGTCGCCAAAAGGTAACATTGCCAACTCAACAAAAAATAGTAGCCAAATGTTTCACTTTCGGAGACCAAACACATGTTTAGTCGCTAAAACTATCGCCAACAGGGTTTAGGCGACGAACTTGGTGACAAAAAATTTTAGTCACTAAATGGTATCAGCGACTAAAAATGGGACGTTTGGCAACTAATATTTTGGTCACCAAAACTGTCATTTCCTGTAGTGCATTGACCCACAACTTTAAGCCATCACTCTCTCCATAAAGCAGAGCTAGCAACCATGTCAGAATTACAGGTAGTAACTTAACCATGCCCATCACTTCCATCCTTGGTCATTTGCTTAAGGACAAAGGTTCTGTTGTACAATTTTTTTTAAATTACAAGTAGTATTTTTCTCACTTGATTAGATAATTTAGATTTACCAGCAGTATTTCAAGAGGTTGAATTGGATTTTTTAGAATATAAAAAAGAAAGAGTATATATTGAGCAACTGTAAATTGGCCAAATTAGTAATGAAACGCCATAAAACAGACAAAGGACGAAAGACTCATTCCTCTAAGTACATCTTAAGTCAAATAGTATAGCTTGTAGAATTATAGTTTTTGTTAAAGTACAGGGCGATATTACAAATGCTCGAACAGTTGAAGTGGTGTGAACATCTTTTTCCATTCAAGTTCTTTGGGTTTTTTTTTTTATTATAAATTTTTAATTAATTAATTTTTTATTATAGAACAATGCAGTCTGAAGGAATGGCATTTATGCTTGTTCCAAGCTATAAATTTAAGCTAAATTTGGTATTTGAGTATTGTTCTTCATCAGTATAAATTTAGAACTTTTCAGTGGGTTATGGTTGGTGCACTACTACTCAACTTGTGTTATTGTTAATAAATCTTCATCCTTGAACACTAATGATGATGCCTTTTAGATTGGGAATACATCATTCAGGTTGAATGAGCTGTAAGTACTGAGAGTGTTATATAGAGTTTGGCTTGACATTGTTGGGAAAAGACATCATGGCCAATGAAATAATGGAAGATATGGTCCTGGATGTTAATATGGGGAAAATATAAACTTTTCTGATTGACCATGACCAATTGTGTAGATTTTGTATGTTTGAGCTGGATTATCAATGCTATTTCATAGTTTTCCCATTCAATTGTTTGTTGTTGGGTTGATCAGTTGGTATTTTGGCCATGATATCACTACTATGGCTCCAATGCTTTGATAATAATTTCTTGATAGAACTCCCACTACGGTTCATGGTTGCCATGACCCTACTAAATGGTGTTACATTGACTTTATCATATGTCAACATGCTTGTGTTTTTACTCCATGAATGATAGGTTTCCCCACAACCCCTTTTTTCCCAACCCTTTATTGTTGTAAACTGAGATTGGTCCTTACATATGAATGTTACATATATTCAAGTCAATTGATATCTCAGAAAAAAGATCACTTTGTGGCCTTTGTTTTTTTTTTCTTCCCCCCTTTTGATTTTTTTAGTAGTAAATGTTCGGTATATAGCCATCCAATAGTTTTATTCTTCTTCTCTTTTTTTTTTCCAGGTCATTAGACATTTTGATGGATGCAAAGCTGACTTGGTTGTCTGTGATGGTGCTCCTGATGGTTAGGCAAACAAATATGATTTCAACTTCATGTTTTGTTAAGTGCGTTCCCTTGTTAACTTGGATTTATATATTTTCTGAGTTGGCTCTTTCCATGTTCATTTGCAGTCATCGGACTCCATGACATGGATGAATTTGTACAGTCACAACTCATTTTGGCTATGAGTGTTTAGAGTCCTTTCTAAACTACTTAATGCTTCTCTAGAATAATTTTTACTATGGTTAGTTTTGGGTGGATATTACCTCCTAAAGTAGTATCAAGATGTAACATAGATGCATTTGATTGAGTTCCCATATGGAAATTAATTTACAGTTTGTGTGAAAATGAAGAATAATGACAGTCATGAGTCTTATAGTATTCACCCAAAAAAAGTCTTATAGATTTTATACTATTTCTGCGATGAAATTTCATTGTGGACTGCCAACAGTGCATAGTCTCCCATCACTTCATTGCTGCATCTGTATGTCCATGTTCCCTGGCAAAATGAACAAACTGATTTAAATTTGGTAGCACTTGGGCAAAGACCTTTGGCAGTTAGGGCTATTAAGGATATAAATAGTTAAGGCACCCCTTGTTCTGCCAACTTAAGCTTTTAGACGAGTTGGTGGTCAACAATTTAACAAAATCAAGAGGCGAAATATGGAAGAAATATCATAAATAAATCTCCCTCTTAGCTTGGTGTGGATTTTGCTTTCTAAGTTTCCAAGTTGCCTATGTCCTGTTTGAATTGGGAAAGCAAGGATTTCTGTTATGTTCTCTTTTGTTTCTCCTATATTTTGTTTTGATCAGCACTTTTGTTTCTTTTACATTTTCTTTTACTTTTTTCTCCTATACGGGTCTTCTTTGTTTGACTGACTTGTTGCTTGTTGCGAAAATACAAAGGATCATAAAGGAAACTACAATTTTTATGACAAATGTGTTCATTCCATACACCCTTATCTTGTCATTATTATAAATAGGGGTTTGTGAATGCCTACTGTATGATTAACAAGAAAGTTCTAGATTTGATTAAGAGTATCTAGAAATTTGTGAATCTTGTTCAAGTTTTTTGTTAGGGTTTAACAATAGTTACTCACATACTTAAGAAAGGTGGAAAGTTTATCGCAAAGATATTCCAGGGAAAAGATACAAGCCTCCTTTACTTTCAGGTAAGTTAAATACTTACTGAAGCTCTCCATTTTTTTGGAATTAATTTCATCAAGCTTAATGTAGTTTTTGTTACAAGATTTGAAGTTTTCTTCACATTCCTTTTGTCCATATGTCAATTAGCATTTTCTTCAGCATGGATTCCTAGCCTTGGTAGGTAGTGATGGATAAATGTTCTTTGAATAAAGAAGAAAATGAGCAAGAAAACCGAACTTATTTTATTACAATCAAGTGGTGCATGTTGGAGACTTTTCGGCATTTGAGCATTAGTACCAAAACTATAGTATATATTTTTCCTACTGTCTTTCCCCATAATCTATGTTGTGAGTACACATGGTGAGCCAAAACTCTTATTTTGAGTTAACTATACAAGTTCACCAACACTATATTACTTCAGGGAATAAACTTTTGCAACTTTATAATGTCATTGGTCTTCTACAGAGGATGGAAGGGGAGACTAAAAACAACTGGTTTTCTATAGAGAATTGGTGTGTTGGAGCCAGAAGCCTCTGCTATGTGTGTGTTTTGTCATGAAGGGCTTGAATCTGTATTTCATCTCCTTATATGGTGCCCGTTTGCTTGGAGAATTTGGTGTCATCTGATGCAGTGGTGGGGATTGACTTGGGTAATTCCACAAACAGTGGAAGGGATTCTTAATTAGTGGAGGGGCTTCAAGTGGAGAAATAATCTGACTATGATCTGGCGAATTATACCATTTGCGGTTTTGTGGTCGTTATGGAAATTTAGGAATGAGAAAGTTTTCAGTGAAAGTCAAATGCACTTGGAGGAGCTGTGTGAATTAATCAAGACAAGGATTGCATTGTGGGCCAAATTTTACACTCAGGATTGCTGTTACTTAGTACAGTAGATTATCTGCAACATTCAGGAGATTCAGCTTGGAAATGGTTAGTATATGGTGGAGGGGCTGGTTTTAGGTTCTGTGTTGGCTTGGAGTGAGAGGATGTTTGGCATAAGCTGCAGTTGTGTGAAATGTGCTCTGCTGGTGGTCACTAATCTGGATCAAATCTGCTGGCTGGTATCAGAGGTTCAATCCTTGCTTGATGATCTGGTTGGTTTGATGGTCTGTTCTGTATGCTGCCTGCCTGCTCTGTTTAGAAGGTCTGCTGGCTGTTTTCACTAGCTGAGCTAGACCTGATATGTTGATTAGCTGTGTTTAGATGGTGCCTTGAAGCTAGTATGTGTTGCAGTTGCATTTTTGTGACTTGCTGGTGCCTTTTAGGACTGTTAAGAGAGCCTTGTCTGTTTGTTCACTTTCTGATGCCTTGAAGCAAGGGTGTGTGGCAGCTGCAGTTTTGCGCAATGAGCTCTGCTGGTGGTCTTATTGGTGAAGTATGAATAAAGGAAGTCTGCTATTATGCTGTGTGTAGCCAGGTTTCAATCAAGAAAGTTTGCTGCTGTTATGTTGCTGGTATGTTGCTTCTATGCTGCTGCTGGTCTGGCTGTAGGGGTTGGTTGAATGTGTATCAGGATTCCCAAATGGATGAAGTGTATCAGGATCCCCTAATACTACTCTGTCCTTTGCTTTTTCTTTTTTCTATTCTCTTTTGTTTCCTCTATTGGTTTCTCACCAATTTAGGGTCTTGTGCTTTTTACTCTTCTCTTTTTGTTGATGTAAGTTTTGTATGTTATACTTTCTTCATCAATAAAGTTGTCTTTTGTTGATCAAAAAAAAAAAAAATAATGTCATTGGTCTTTGTGCTGACTTTTAAAAAAAAATCTCCATGTAGAATGGTTTTTATTTTCTAGCTGAGGCTTATATGCAACTAGCCAATGTGATAGGTTGATTGATTCCTACATAGACCCACTATTTGGAGAATTGGGCACCACGACTTCTTTAATTCTAAAATGCTATGTTTTCCCTTACTTTAATAGTTACAGTGTTTGCAGGCCTTTGGTGATGACATAATTGGTTTTGTCTAGTTGGTAAAAAATAACTAATTACCAATCCTTATTTTTTGTTTGGCATTTTCTGTCTTAGGTTATAAATGTTTTTTCTGCATCACAAGCTTGTCTCTATTGAGTTGAGTTGTTAATGCCAATGAAAACAATTTACTTGTATTTTTTAAATGATCGTACTAAACATTATGGAACTGCTGGAAATAAATTTAGCTTTCAGGGTTATTTTGTTGATAATTTATTAAATGATTTCTTGCATCATGTTTAGGCCATTTCTAGTTCATGGAATCAATAGTTTTATTATTTCTTTTGCAGCTAAAACTATTTTTCACGGATGTGACTTTTGCAAAACCAAAAAGTAGTCGTAATTCAAGCATAGGTGAGTAGCTAGTGTTCTTTGTTTCCAACTTTCTGTTATTTTTATATTCTGGATAATCTAGTTCAGAAATTCTCTCAATTTAGAAATTGTCAGTTGTATTTCCATCTTAAACCTAGCTTTGAGGTGGGGGGAGGGGGAGGAGGGGAAATCTTAGTGTGTAATTTGGCTCATAAGAAACTAAATACGCTCTCTCTCTCTCTCTCTCTCTCAGTCTGTTTGTAATTTGTTATGTCAATTCCTTGAACATGGTCTTAAAGTTCATTAAGAATGTACATGATGAGGCGTGTGGTTGTCTAACATGGTGAGACAATTTTTAACCTGGTTCTCATTAAGAATGTGCATGCCATCATTTTGGATTATATTGGTGGCTGTATATATTAAAACATTAAAATTTTAGTTTCTTTTATAATACATGCTCTTTGCTTGGTACTTTATAAACCCTATTTGCTTGGTACTTATTATGTTGGATCTTATTATATACTTATTTGGCCATGTGAGATATCTTTGCATATCGATATTGGAGTTTATAATCTTATTTATTTATTTATTTGTAGAAATAAATATCAAATGTTTTATATTTTCTGTAAGCTTGAAATTAATTATGTTGTAAATGATTTTTTTTTTTTTTTTTTTGCAGATGCAATCCTTTTGAGTACTTTTTTTTTTTTTTTTTTTTTTTTTGCGGATGCAATCCTTTTGAGTACGTGATGATATCTTCGCATATCGATTTTGGAGCTTACTATTGATATCAAAACAATCTACAATATATATGTTTTTTTATTTGTATTGTCGATACTAAAAATTTGAGTTCTTGAATATAAATTTTTTTTAGTATTGTTGGAGGTTGTTTTATATATTTTTGTAAAGAATATTTGGTTGACAATTGTTATAGGGTACATATTTATTATTCTTGGTATATGATTTTGTGAATGTGAATGTGAATACGGATGCGGATGTGGATGGGGATGCGAATGGGGGTATGGATGTGGATGTGGATGTATTGTATTTTAGAAACTATTAATAATTTGTACAAGGAATAAATTAATAAAATATGATTTTATGAAAATAATTTTATTGCATTTTATAAATTGTCGTTAATGTAATCATCATTTCCTTATATTTTATTAGCAACAGGTTAACCTGTCGCATATACATAATAATTCCAATCTTTGGCGATGGTTTAAACCGTCGCAAATACGGTATTAATTTAATTTTACTTTTTGTGGTGACGTTTTAGACCGTCGTTAATCATATTTTTTGCAACGTCAAACATCGTCGCAAAAAAGGTTTTTGGCGACGGTAATCAACTTCGTCACTAAAAATGAAGTTTTTCCCTCCTTTTTTGTGTCAGGTTAAACCGTCGCAAAAACTATTGATTAGCCGTCGCTACAAGAAAGCAACGGTTTGTAACCATCGCAAATACTTTTTGTCACGCCTCCTTCTGCCACCTCCCATTTCCCGTCCCTACTTCGTCGCAAAAAGTCTTTTGTGACGATATGCGAACCTTTTGCGATGTTTATGATCGTTGCAAAAGCTCTAATTTTTAGTAGTGAATGTCCAGTAAATGCACATACACCTCATTCTATTTTTCCAATGCAATACACAATAATAGAACGATCATAATATACAACGGAAACAAAAATTATCAGAGCTTATAATAAAAATTTCAGTTCTTAAAGATAACGGTCAATCAAATTAGTTATAGGCAATTTCCTGCAGAATGTTGTTCCTACCCAACCACTAACACTGGCTACGGGCAATTCTGACTTCCCCTTAGTTAAACAAATACCAATGCATCATTTATTGCATAACCACTAGTGCGTCGCTTACCATACAATTATCAATGATACCCACGCACCTAGGTTATATACCCAAGTGGTGACATCATGGTCTGCCCCAAGGGAATAGGATTCTAGGGATACTCTTCTTGTGTGAAACGCTCACTGCTACCCTTATACCGCCCAAATCCGTTAAGTAGCCAAAATACCTCCTGTGTCACATTAGGGTTCGAAAACACACTTGCACAATACTTAACCCCCGAATAGGAAATACATCCCATCAATCAATACTTGAAATCAACATGCCATTATCTTACAAAATTTACCTTATTGATTGAAAATCCAATACCACCCTTATTAAGTTTCCCATTGAATTAGGTGTGTTATGTTAAGGTTAGAACAACGATCGAAATAACATTTACTATACAAATATAGGCATTTTAGGACAAAAATATAAAGAGATATAGTCAAAACATACATAGATGTTATACAAAAGTTTGAACAAACAATAAGAGGCACATCCAAACAAATAAAAGTATGAAACTACTAAAATTTAAAAATTTTCATATTTGATTTATTTTAAAGAAAACTATCAAAATAGCATTTTTAGATTTTTCCTGAACTCGACCTCTTTAGGGTTTGTAGAGAATTTTGTCTACTTTCAAAATCAATTACAGAAGTGAGATAATTTTTCTAGATTTTTAGTTATCAATGAAATATTCCAACTCTGTCTAGATTCGTCGACTGCCATGGAAATCGGTTTATTTCAAACCACTCATTCATTTTCAATAAAACTAATTTTTCTTAAAAGTTAGCGCTTTAAGGAGGGTTTTGATGTAAAATTGAGCCCAAGAATATTCTTATTCATTTTTCTAGAATTTTTTAAAGTGGGCTGAAAATACTGGTCATTTGTGGAGAAAACTAGAAATAGAAAGAGTTGTAAGAAAAGGAGGCTATCATGGAAAATTTTACACTTCTTTTATGATGAAAACATTGCCAAATAATATATTAATAACTCAAATTTTTAGTTTGAACGTGTACCTTTAAAAATAATGTAAGATATAGGTAGAGATATGTGACTTTTCTTCAACAAAGAGAGAATACTAACAATGAAGCAATCAAAACTCAACTTCTTTCATTCAAGCACAAGAACACCATGCATAAACATCTGAAAATAATATTCTAAGCATTTAATATTATGTATTTAGTAGGGAAAAGAGAATGATAGGTTGTATTGTGACTTACTTATTTGCCTAAGATTGGTGTTGTGCAATCACATTTCTCTTATTTAGTTGGAATGCAATGGAATGAGGGTGATTAGGAAGGTTAAGTGTGATTTACTTAAGTTTACTTAGTTGGTTTGGAACTAAATTGAAAGGTTAAGATAAATATCCCTGATTTATGATCCTTAGTCAAAATTCTTCCATTTTTTCATGAAGCTTGTTGTAAAAGTACAATACAATATATTTTCTTGGGGTGGCCGGCCATATGGGTCATTGACTATTGTTTTGAATAATCTTTTCTTGGTACAATTATATATATATATATATATATATGTTATACCCACAGTGGTATGTGTGTGTAAAATAAATAAACAATAAAATAAAATAATTTAGAAAATAATTATATAAATTATTTTCCGAATTAAACGCTTACAGAAATTAATGTCGAGACTTGTGTTGGACACAATTTCCTTAAAGTAGATTTCCCCATCGCTCCGGTGCTTCGAGTTTTAATCGGTGTGTACTTCCCAGGTTGCAACGACTAACACTTGATTTTACAGCACTATAAAATCAAGTCTAGCGAACCAAAACTCTGTTGTAACTCTCTGTTTTTCTTCCTAAAAATTAAATGCAAAACAGATGCAGAAACATAGAGAAGACCAGAGAAAGAATGATGAAATTATGATGAAAAATATGATGAAATGAACTGCTGGAAGCAGGCTTTATATAGGAAAAGAAATGCCTTTTCATGACAAGTACCTAACAGGAAAAACCTGTTCAGAACAGGAACAGATCTGTTCAAAATAGAAACAGATCTATTCGGGTGGAAATTGCACCTGTTCGGGTGGACCTTTTGAATATGTTCAGGTATGGACCTTATGAACCTGTTAGGGATCTATTTGGGTGAAGGAAAAATTCTGGACCAATTTATTTTGAATTTTGAAACCAAAATTTAAATAAATAAATAAAAGATTCAAATGTTTTTGGCCCAAAAAGATAAGTATTGGATTGGACAAGCCCAACCCAACCTCACACCTCACACCACGCGCCCACGCCCAAACCTAGGCCTAGCCCGCTCGACTTACCGGATAGACAGCGGCGACGGCGCGCGCGTGTGGTTTTTGTTTTGGGTCCAATGGGTCTAGCCTACTTCACCCATAACCTCACCCTTCCACAAACTTGGGTACCCCTTGGGGCCCATTCCAAGTATCCCAAGCTAAGGTATATAAACACATTCAAATCCATAAGACTTTCTAATGTAGGACAAGCACATTTCACAAATGTGTAGGAAACCAACCTAAATCCAATTTCATGAACCCGAAAATGCGCGTTGAATTCTCATTCATCCTAAAAGCTTCTACGGTTTCATCTTTACTTCTCAATAAGTAAACATAGCAATATCGAGTGCAATCA